TTTCTTCTCTCCGAACCCTACGTCCTTGCGGGGCCGGGCGCCCACCGTGGGGGCGGGACTCGGTGTCCGCCTGCGCGCTGCGAGGTCTGCCTTCCCTCCGCGGGCGCTTTGTTTTGGTCCCTGTCGTCACGCGTCCGAGCCTTCACTCTCCTGCTGAACTGTGAGTCTCGAGGAGGCGCGGAACCCGGTCCCTCCTTTTCCCGAGTGCCATTCGGGGTTCCGTCGGTGCCTTGCGTTGTACCCACCCGCCAGCACTTGCTGATGGCGTCTTCCCATGATTCCTGTGAAAAGTGTGAAGGACCCTCGGGTTTTCCGTTGGTTGACCTTTTTGTAGAATTAGATGAAGCTTAACATCAGCGCACCACCAGGAGCAAGGAGACGTCACGAATAGCTAACATTTGTTGAGTTCTAGTGGTGTGTTTTGCCGAGCACTTTAATATTATGTAAGTTGGGTCATAAATAAGTTCAGTGAGGCAGGCATAATTATTCCCATGTTACCTTGCCTAAGGTCGTGTAGCTAGTTGGAGCTTTCTGACCAGATCTGTTGTCTCCATTACCCATTACTGAGATATTAGTATTCCTTTTTACATTTAAGGAAACAGGTTTAGAGAAGCTAAGTGATTTGTCCAATAATAAAATAATAGCTTCGTTGGTTGGAGCGTCCTGCCAAGGTTGCGGGCTCGATCCTCAGGTGTATACAAGAATCAACCAATGAATGCGAAGGTGGAACAACAATTCGATGTTTCTCTATCTCTCCCTCCCTCTCTCTAAAGTCAGTGAATTAAAAAAAGTAATAAATTAAGTTTGCTTAAACATTAAGAGACCCCCTAGTAGGTATGTGCTGGCCCTGCAGATAGAACTGAACAGGGCAAAGGGCAGGCTCTCTAAGAGCTTCCAACATAGTGGAGGGAACTGACAAAGTAACTATTGAGTGAGATGTTTTGGGTGTTGTGTATATAGATGTGATGTCTGCGGGAAGGAGGGAATCAAAAGGAGAAGTAAGACAGATATAGGAGGAAAATGGAGCTAAACTCATTGGCTTTGAATTCCTTTTCCATCAATCCCTAACTTTGTGACATTAGGTAACTTACTTAACCTAATCGGCCCATTTCTTCATCAGTGAAGTAGGATAATAATGGTACCTACCTCAGTAGGGTTCCTGTATTCACTTTTATTTACTTATTAATATTTCTTATTTCAGAGAGGAAAGGAGAGGGGGAGAGAGAGAAACATCAATGATGAGAGAATCATTGATCATCTGCCTCCTGCATGCCCCACACTGGGGATGGAGCCTGAAACCCCGGCATGTACCCTGACCAGGAATCAACCTTGAACTCCTGATTGATAGGTCGGTTTTCAACCACTGAGCCACGCCTGCCGGGCTATTAATGCATTTTTATATAAATAAGACGCTTTGAATAGTGCTTGACACTTACATTCTAGGCATAGCGAAGTCATTGAGACAAAAACTTGAACCCAGGTCTTACAGCTGGTCCAGTGCTCCACTACACACGTTGTTGCCTCCTTGCATTCCCTGCCTTGGGAAAATGTGGCGGTCAGATAGTCACTGTCCCATGACCCCCCCCCCCCCGGGGGGTAGAAATAAGCAGGGCACAAGGAGAGAAAGAAAGGAGGGGGGCAGTGAAAGAGGGATTCGGGCAGCTTGCAAGGTTTCAGGTCACTCTAGATACCTGGGTAGCCTGCTTCCTGGGCTTTACCCCAGTCTCAGCAGCAGTGTGCTTAGAATATTTGTGCTCAGTACTGTGCTGGCCACAGTGTTAGGGACACAGGTGGGTGTGAAATGGCTTCTCAGAAGCAGCTAATATTGCCCAGTTGGGTAAATGAGAATAGAACACAAACAATCATGTTGACCATGAGCAGCATAAAAATAGGGTTGAGATTTTTCTGGTGTCAGCCCAGCAAACCCATGTTTTCCCCAGAGTGTGGAAGTTGAAAAGGGGTTTCTCTGGTAAGCAGTTAGGTAGTTGACCATGAGCAGCATAAAAATAGGGTTGAGATTTTCTGGTGTCAGCCCAGCAAACCCATGTTTCCCCAGAGTGTGGAAGGTGACTAGATTCTTCTGGGGGGGGCAAGGGCTGTAGATTGAAAAGGGGTTCTCTGGTAAGCAGCTAGGTGTAGTACGTTCCTGTGCTGGTGGGCATGCAGGATTTGATGTATTTTGTATTCTCTCTCTTCCCACCGCCTCTCAGTATGTAGTAGAGGCCTTTTTCATAGGTCCTGCCGGTCTCAGGGAGGCCAGAGGGAGCCATGCCTACTCCCAGGGTCCACATGGTGGGGGCATTGAGAATCAGTGAGAATTCTCCAGGTGAGGTGACACGTGGGACAGAGTCAAGGCCTCTAGCATCCTCTCATCCCCCAGAACTTTTGCTTACAGTGTCATCCTCTGCTGTTCTGTTTTCTTTTAATGGGGAAACTTGTATTGCTCTTCAAACTCTGTTCTGGAACTGCCCACCTGAGAATGGAGTGCTGAGTTAAAGGGGCAGATTTCTAGGCTTAACCCCAGCTTCCTGAATCCAAACCCCTAGGTGGGGAGCAGGAGAACTCTGCATTTGTATGCTTTATTAAAAGTTGAAAACTTTTACTGTTTGTTTGTTTTAATATATTTTTATTGATTTGAGAGAGGATGGGAGAGGGAGAGAGAGAGAAACATCAATGATGATCGGCTGCCTCCTGCACGCCTCACACCTCACACTGGGAATAGAGCCCCAACCCGGGCATGTGCCCTGACCAGGAATCAACCTCGACCTCCTGATTCATAGGTTGAGGCTCAACCACTGAGCCACACCAGCCAAGCAAGAACCTTTCGTTTTTTATTTAGCTTTCTTCAACAAATATTTAATACATACTTAAGCATGCTGAATACACATTAGGTATGATATCAACTAGACAGATTTGGCTTCTTTTGTTCAAATGAAATCTGCATTTTATATATTTATTTATTTTTAGTACTCAGGCAAGAGGTTTATTAAAAAGCTCATGAGCAAGAGGGAGTTATCCCCTCCCCAAGGAAAAGGAAGAATGGGCTTCTCTCTCTCTCTTTTTTTCCCTCTTTACATTTTTGTTTAAAGGATGTTAGGGGAGAGTCAGAGGAAACCACCGGGTAGGTTAGGGAAAGGCAGATTGTATGGCATTTTGAGAGTCTGGCAGGGGCGTTGTGATGCGATGCAGTAAGAAATAAGGAGCTTTGGGTTCATTTGCAGGCTGTGAGGTTAGAAGGAGCATGGACTTTGGAGTTAGCCCAACCTGACCTTGTCAGACCCAGTGTGTGGCCTTGAGCAAACCAGTTAATCTCTCTGAGCCTCAGGTCTTTATCTGTAAATAAAGTTAGCCTGGCGGCATGGCTCCTTGATTGAGCATTGACCTATGAACCAGGAGGTCACGGTTTGATTCCAGGTCAGGGCACATGTCCAGGTTGCGGGCTCGATCCCCAGTGCAGGAGGCAGCAGATCAACGATTCTGGTCATTGATGTTTCTCTCTCCCTCTCCCTCTTTGAAATCAATAAAAAAATATTTTGAAAAAATTGTGCCTACCTCATAGTGTGATGAAATTAAATTAACCGACATAATGGAAATGAAGCGCTTAGTATGGTGTTTGGCATATAGTAAGTGCGAAATTAAAAACAAGGTTTTGGTACCCCATTTTGAAGCTGCTGATGTTCAGGAGTAGGAGGGTTGTTACTTGGCTGAAGTCACACAGCTAATAGATGCTGGTCCACGGAGTCTGGATTTGCACTGGTTCTTCTCCAAGGCCATCTCTGAACCTGAGCTTTGTTCTGCTTCCCACAGGAGTCATTCCCAGGTGGGTTGCTCTGAAGCTATATGAGAACATGTTAAAGTTCTTAGCTCCGTGCCTGGCACGTGCTAATAAACTAGGTTAGTTTGTGCTCTCCTTTCCCGAGAACACAGAAAGCTTCAGGATTTTGAGGAACTCTCCATCCTTGTTGAAAAGGCACAGGCTTTCTCCCAGGCGGCTGGAAAGACTCTGCTGCAGGTTCTAGGAAGGCTGCCTACCCAGGTTCACCCCCAGCCACACGGGGTGTAATCCTGCAGCTGTGGATCTTTTCCTCCTCCTCTAGGGTGAAGGCCATGCCGCCCCCTGGGAAAGTTCCCCGAAAGGAGAACCTGGGGCTGCAGTGTGAGTGGGGGTCCTGCTCCTTTGTGTGCTCAGCCATGGAGGAGTTCTGCGAGCATGTCACTCAGCACCTGCAGAAGCACCTGCACAGCTCGGGGGAGGAGGAGGAGGAAGAGGAGGAGGACTTGCTGGGTAAGCAGGACACGGGAGGGGAAAGAGCTCGAGGGATGTGGGGCATCTGACTTTCCTTCCCACAGACGGAGAAGGCAGCCCAGGAAAGTGGTGGTTTAATTTCCTAACTGTGCTTTTGTTGTTTATAAAAACATTGTAGACGCATAGAAAACTCATTCGACAAGGATTTTCAACATGAATCTGCTATCTTCCCATCAAAAGGCAATTATTGACAGTACTTTTGTGAACATTCTTTTTGACCTCTCTCTACATGTGATAACTGATATTTTTATATGTATTTCTAAACAACCAGACACATAAAAGTTCTTAATTCATTAATCCTCTCATGGAAAATCTGCAGTCACCACAGAAAAAGTCACTGACGAACATTTACTCCTATTGTCCTGACTCCAGCCCACTGTTTGCAGCACCAACACTGGCCGTTGCAGTCCCCCTGGCCTTCCTCATTCTGTCCTTGCATTCCTTTCCCAATTCTTTTCTTAAGGTCTTCTTTTCATATAGGTCATGACTTGCTAGTCTGTTTGGGTTCATTTTTCTTTGAGTAATCCCAGGAACAAATCATGACATGCCCAGCTGGTGTGTCAGTGGTTGAGCGTCGACCTATGAACCAGGAGGTCACGGTTCGGTTCCCTGTCAGTGACATGCCCAGGTTGTGGGCTCAGTCCCCAGTGTGGGGAGTGAAGGAGGCAGCCAATAGATGATTCTTTCATCATTGATGTTTCTATCTCTCCCTCTCCCTTCCTTTCTGAAATCAATAAAAATATTTTTTTAAGTTAAATAAAACATGACAAAGCTAGTTAGTTGTGGTACCACCACCAAAATGGATTCTGAATCTAAACGTAGAGATGACATCTGGTGTGGTTTTGTACATTTTGGCTAGTTTTTCCTGAATTTCTGTCTTAGGAACTGTTGACTTCCCAGGGAAAAGGATGTCAGTGACCCTTTGTTTCGTTAAAGTATTCTGTTAGTCATGAACTTCCTGATCTGCATAGTTACTGTGTTGTTCATGATAGTGGCTGATCTTCAAGCCTGGTTTTCCTGTTATTTGTTTATTTACCTATCTTCTATATATATATAAAAGGTTAAGTGACCATCTGACCAGCCTGTAGGTATGATGCGCACTGACCACCAGGGGGCAGACACTCAACACAGGAGCTGCCAAGCTGTGGTGACTTGGCAGCAGCGGTTCTTGGGTGACGTACCCTGGAGCCAGACAGGAGGGAGCCTGATTCTGGGGTGCGTCACCCAAGAACCGCCCTTACACAATCTGGGACCCCTTGGGGGATGTTGGAGAGCCAGTTTAGGCCCAATCCCCACAGGCCAGGCCGAGGGACACCACCTGTCAGAGGGACCCCACTCACTCCGCAGATGCCCTTTGAGCTACGGGGCCACCCCAGGTGCCACCGGCCAGGGAGGGACCACGGGAGGTTGGCTCTAGGGCATGTCCAGCCTGTCTCACCCAGTCCTGCCAGCCACCTTCTAATCAATTTCCTTTCAATGTGCACGAATCCGTGCACCGGGGCACTAGTTTTTATATATATACTAGAGGCCTGGTGCACAAAAATTTGTGCACTCAGGGGGAAGGGAGGGTCCCTCAGCCCGGCCTGTGCCCTCTCGCAGTCTGGGACCCCTCGGGAGATAACGCCCTGCTGGCTTAGGCCTGCTCCCGGGTGGCAGAGGGCAGGCCCAATCCCTAGGTGCAGCCCCTGGTC